CTGGTAGTAATCTATCACTGCAGTTAACCCTTCAGATTAGGCGAAAATATCATCTCTAGGTGTGGTTGATAATGGCCAAGTTAGGAAAAGTTATATGGGGCATACCTAATAGCCAAGTTCAGCTCTGGACTCTGGGAAAATCAGGTCCTGTCACATAATTTTTCATCCAAATGTTATGGAGGTTTCAGATGATGGCCCAGACAGTTCCTATCAGGCTGGTGATACACAATTGTCGGGGGCTCCCAACAAGAGGGTGGACATAGCAGTTAACAATGAGAAAGTTACATTTAATTATGCTATATTAGGAATCACAGGAATTATAAGGTAGATAAACTCCCTTTCCCCCTAATTATACTATTTTAGAATGATAAATTTTATACTTCTATTCCCTTCCTTATTTCATTGTTACCATAATACATTTATTTTGTTGTCTAACTTGCTGCATTTGATTAATTTTGTTAACTTTGATTAATTTTGAATATGTCATTAGAAAATGAGCTTCAGAGAAATCGTTTTTATTTGTTGTTAGTTTGGTTTTGTTGTTGTTGCTTCTATATCCTGAACACTTAGATTAGGGCTTGATACCTATTAGCTACAAATGGACACTTTTAGAATAAAGAAATACCAGTGAAAATTAGTTTATATTCACTGGACTGCAAGTCGGAGATAGAATCAGACCATTAAAAATACACGCCATTTTCCATTCCTGCTGCTTAAAGAGTGAGGATGTGAAACAGGAGAGTGAATATGAACTGAGATAAAAAAAAATTATCAGACTTTAGGAAAATGAGATTTATGGGTTTTGCCTAGAGGTCTCAAATGTTACAGCTTTTATGAATTGTGTATAGGCAGCTTGCTTAAATTAAGACTTTTAAAAAATAATAATAGTAAAGAAGATTTATAGATGTTCATCCCCAATAAAGGCATAAGGCTAAGAAACTTGGATTTTTGAATAAGCATATCCAAAATATTCTGATACAAAAGTCATCTGATGACACTTTGAGGAAAAAAAGGATCCTTCATAGTAAAAGAATAAAATTGTTCTTAGACATTCAGTGAGATCATTCAGGAGGAGATTTCACCTGTGAAGAAGGGGGGTAGACATTGGAAACAGGTAGAGCTGGTAGGCATCAGAGCATCAGGGCATGCCCAGTTCAGTACTTGCTAAAATGTACTTTCTGCAATTTCCTCTTAAGGATTGTATTTTAATATGTAGCAGGTGATTCTGATGCCAGAAACTCTAAGTCTTGCTCTGGAAATAACTGGCATAAATGGAAGGAAAGAGGATTTTTTTTTAATGGCATATGCCCGATACTGTGTCAAGAGAGCTTTATCCAGAGGTAAGTATTGTTACCATTATTTTATAGGTGAGGAAAATTAGAATCGCACAACATACAATTATTTGAGGTCACACTGATAGGAAAAAGGTCAGTTGTTACTTGGATAAAAGGTGTCCTGAATCCACCCTTGAGGGTTTTTTTATCATGCACAATGGTTGCCCACTATTTGTTGGATGGATAAACAGGTGAGTGAGTTATTAGTCAAGTGAGTGATAAATAAATAAATGACAGCAATGTGAGTGAGTGTGAAAATAGTTGAAGGTGAGTAAACTGCTAGTTCTGAACTATAGTGTTAATGAGAATCACTAATAGAGACATCCATTATAACCAGGCAATCCCAGGTTTAATGGAATTCACATTCCTCCCATGACACATTTTTTTAAGAAGTCAGAATTACTAATGCTCAATGTTCACAATGTGTACTCTTTTAAAGAAATAATTTACACATTGGCCAAGTATACAAATTGTATAACTTGGATGCCGAACTAGATAAAGAATATCATCAACATCCAAAAATGTTCCCTAGTTCCATTTTGCAAATATTCTTTCCCTCAAAACTAGCTCTTGCCTAAACTAAAATCCAATTCTATTCTTCTAAGCTTTTCTCTTTCCAGATTTTCATAAATCCAATCAGTATATGTTGTATTCTGTGTCTTCATTATTGAAGCTTTAGAATGAATATTAAAATCAAATAATATGATCCATTTTTATTGTTTTATTTTAAAAGTGTTTTGCTTCTTCTAGTTTTTTACTTTCAGAAGTAAATTTGTAAATTTCTATCATAAAAAAGTGCACTTCAGAAATTAATGTAGTCTAATGTAATCTTTATATCAGTTTGAGAGAATTTAGGTCTTTTAATTAATGAAAAGTATCTGTTCATGAACTTAAATTGTCATTAATTTCTATTAGCAATTTTTGATGATTTCAGCATAAAGATCTTAAACACATTTTATTAGATTTGTCACTAAGGATTTTAGGATTTTTTAATGCTATTGTAAACATTTTCTACTTTAATTTCACACTTTTAAAATGAGTGTTTTCTTAAATTTTGCACCCTAGGAGCCTCTATTACCTTACTTTAATGTCACTACGAACAGTATATAGAAATGCAACTACATTTTGCATATTGATTTTATGATCCATAATTTTGTTAAGCTCGATTATTAATTCTAACAGGTTTTGGGGGACTTACTTTGGGGGAATTTCTGCATAGGTTGTCTTCCATCTATAAATGAGGACTCATGGCTTTCTTTCCATTTCATTTGCATGGTTTATCTTGTCATATTGCTCTAACTAGGATCTACCTCCAGTAAAATATTTAATAGAAAGGAATTTTAAACTCTTCCTTAATTTTAAAGGAGAAAGAATTTAATCTTTCACTCAGGGGACAATTTTCTCATAGATACTGCTTATCAGGTTGAGACTATTTCCTTCAAATTGTGCTTAGAGTTTTTATTATGAGTAAATGTTGAATTTTTGTCAAATATTTTTATGCATTTATTTATTATTATAAAATATCTATGCTAATATTTTGCTCATATGCTGAATTATATTATCATACTATACTCTAATACAAATATAATGCTACATATACAACATAAAACTACATAATTACATGCTATATATACATATATATTTATAGATTATTATTATTGGTACTGAGAATTGAACTCAGTGGCAAAGCCACATCCCAGCCCTTTTTAATTTTTTTTTTAAGACAGGTCCTTGCTAAGTTCTGAAACTGGATTGGAACTCATGATTCTCTTGCCTCTGCTTGCTGTACTTTTTAAATATATTGCTGGATTCAATGTTATATGACATATGGGGAAGATGGGCCTTATATATATTTTAAAGCAGTCAATTCAATAAGAATATGTAATGTGTGGCTGGGGATGTGGCTCAAGCGGTAGCATGCTTGCCTGGCATGCACGGGGCGCTGGGTTCGATCCTCAGCACCACATAAAAATAAAATAAAGATATTGTGTCCACCGAAAACTAAAAAATAAATATTAAAAAATTCTCTCTCTCTCTCTTAAAAAAAGAATATATAATGATCAAAAATGAAAATGCATGTAACAATATTTTTGTAAAAGTTTTAAATTTGTTTTGTTTTTTTAGGTATACCTGACAGTAGAACATATTTTGACATATTATACATACATGGAGTATAACTCATTCTAATTAGGAATCTATTCTTGAGGTTGTACATGAGGTAGAGTTTCACTGGTGGTATACTCATAGACAAACATAGGAAAGCTATGTCCAGTTAATTTGACTGTCTTTCCTCTTCCCATCATCACTCCCTTCTCTTCATTCCCCCTTGTCTAACCCAATGAATTTCTACTCTTCCCTCCCACCCTTATTGTGTTTTAGCATCTGAATATCAGAGAGAACATTCTACCTTTAGATTTTGGGGATTGGTTCATTTCACTTATCATGATAGTCTCCAGATCCATCCATTATCAGCAAAAATCATAAATGAGATGGTATCAAACTAAAATGCTTCTTCACTGTGAAGAAAATCAAGAACATTAATAGGGAGCCTACAGAAAGGGAGAAAATCTTTACCGCCTGTGCCGCAGTCCGGCTGCAGCAAAATAACCCAGGGGCGGGGGGTGGGAGTGATGAGCAACTTGTGTAGATTGATACAGCAGGAGTGGGAGCCATTTATTGTAGGACAGGAGGGATATATATACATTCCACACAGCTTATCTTAATTAACATAAACTAGATACAGCAGTCAACCAATAAGGAATCTCCACACTTAATGGCTCGCTGGGTTACTTCACAAACCACTCCCTCTGGCAAAATGCCAGGTAACATCCTGACTTGTTTACAGACTCTAACAACCTGCACCTCAGATAGAGCATTAATCTCCAGGATATATAAAGAACTTGAAAAATTAATACCAAAAAATAACATATTTAAATCACATGACACAAAAGCTTATAAAGAGAAAAAATAGACAAAAATTGTATTTGTAGGGTTATATATTCTTGTCAAAATAATTAAATTAACATGTGGTTAAAATATATATAAGGATACAACAGATACACATTAAGTATTAAGTAACTTGACCTAGTTGTTATTTCTAGCAAACTATAAAAACAGCAAAAAACTCTAAATTATTTTATTTAAAAAAAAACTTTTGTTTTTATTTGAATACTTATCCATTCTGTTAGAGTATGTTGAGAATGGAATTAATTTAAAGGAAAAATAATATTGGCAGCAATAAAATTAAAATTAAAAAAATTCTTACATAACACAAGTGATAAATGAATACTTTTGTATTTCTGTGATGTCCACTTAGGGAATTCCTTTATTGGATAATTTGTAGTTTAATTTAAACTTACTTGAGTCATAAGTATTTGAAAATGTCAAAAACAATGCTACAGAGGTAAAGATAGACAAAGCAAATAAAAGAGTATATTGGGATTCATTAAACACCTTTAATGAAAACAGTACTTGACAATTAAAAACAGTTCAAGTTTTTGCAGTTAAATAAAAAAACTACCTCAAATTATTGTTCATACTAGAGGAGAGAGTGTTACTTTTGTTTCTGACATAAAATAAGGGAACTGACATTCTATACGGAAATTTATCTTTTAAATACAAAGAATATACTCTGCCTGATACAGTGGAATGACAGGAAATGAGTTTTCAGCCCTTCTGGAAGTTCACAGCAACAGTGAGACAAGCAAATCTCAGGATCATCCTGAGGCTTAAACCTGCAAACAGCCCCACAGGCATATTTTTTTGAAAGTTTAAATCTCACACCCATTATGGTAGCCATGAGGAAAGCTGTAAGTAGCAATAGTTTAACATCTCATTTGTCCGTGGAGACATGGTAAGCTCCATAGCCTGCCAAAAATTCAACAATGACCAACAATCAAAGAGGGAACACTACTTCTCTGCTTATATCCTAAAATGCATCCAAATGTCACAAGGGCTACATAACCAAAACCAACCAGGTCCATTGGTGAATTTGCAATTTTGGTGTAGAATTCCTTATGTTGGGATCCTTTCTCTTCAAAGCCAGTCAAGCTCCTTCATGGTAAACCCAGTTTCACTTCTTTATCCCCATAGCACCAAGTATGTTGTACAAGGTAGGTGCTAAAGTCTGGAAACATTCTTCTTTGCATTACTTTAACTGTGCACAGAACACATCAAGGTGGATCAGGTTCTACACCTATAAGTATCAACAAACATAAAATGATTAAAATCACACAAAGTTTGTATATCAACCACAAAAATTTAAACTGAAATAAATAACAAAATATATGGAAAGCTCCTAACTTTTTGGAAATTAAGTAACACCCATGTAAATAGCACAAAAATAGAAAAGTTATATCAAAATAAATTAGAAAATACTTTTAAACTAGTTAAAAGGAAAGTAAAATATATCAATATTTTCAGTATATCACAGGATTTCCCCTTCAAAAAGATGAATAATATTCCATTTTGTGTATATACCACTTTTTAAAAGCCTATTTATCCATTGATAAACATTTGAAGGACTTCCCCCTGTTAGCTAATGTGAATATAGCTGCAAAAAACATGCAGAGGGAATATATCTTTGGAGCCAAGTTTCATTTCCTTTAGATACATGGTCAGAATTGAGATTGCTGAATTGTATGGTAATTCTATGTTACTTTTTAGGGGGTCTGTTGGAGTGGGAGAAATTCCGTATTGTTTTTCAAAGTGCTGCACCATTTTACATTTTTATTTAAATTTCTTTTTTGTAGTTGTGACAGTATGCCTTTATTGTATTCATTTATTTTTATGTGGTGCTGAGGATCAAACCCAGTGCCTTAAGCATGCTGGGCAAATGCTCTGTCACTGAACTACAGCCTCAGCCATTTAAAATTTTTAACAGTAATTCACAAGGGTTCATTTCTCCACATCTTTGTCAATTCATATCATTTTGTGTGCCTTATTTACATATTTATTTGATAGTTGCCATTCTAATTGTTATGAGGTGATATCTCATTGTGGTTTCTGGTTTTATTTTCTGTAATGATTAGCAATGCAAATCGTCTTTTTATACTTATTGGCTATTTGTATTTATTGTATGCAGAAATGTCTATTTTAGTCATTTTCCCATTTTTAATCAAATTATTTAACACGTTGCTGACATTGAGTTGTAGGTGTATTATATTCTAGACATCAAACCTTTATCAAATAGATATTTCTCAAGTACTTTTCAATATTTCAAAAGTTACTTTTTCAGGCTGTGAATTGTCTAATTTTTGTAGAAGTCTTTAAATTTAATGTGATCACACTTTTCTATTCCCCCCCTTGTTTTGCATTTTTGCTGTCATATCTAAGATAACATCACAAACTCTGATGTAATCGTTTTCCCCTAAGTTCCCGCCCCCCCCCCCCCCCCCCCCCCCGGAGGTTTATACTTTCAGGTCATGTGTTATTATCTAACAAATTTCAAGTAAATTTTTATAATTTGTTCAACTTTACTTTTATATGTGGATATCCAGTTTTCCTGATACAATTTGTGCAAGAAACTATTCCTTTACCATTGCATAACTTTTGCACTCTTGTCAAAGACCAGTTAGTTGGCTTTATTTATGGTGTTTTATTTCTGGACTCTCCTTTATGTTTCATCTTTCCATATATCTCTCTTCATTGAAGTACCTTAATGTTTTAATTACTATGTTATAATATAGTTTGGAGTCAGGGAGTGTGAAACTTCTTTGTTTCTTCTTTCTCAAGATTATTTTGGCTATTTGGGGCCCTTGAAATTTTATATAAATTTTAAGACTTTTTCTATTTCTAAGGAAGAGTGCCATGGAAATTTTGATAGGGATTGCATTGAAATTGTGGATCACTTTGGGTAGTGAGGATATTTTAACAGTAATACTTTTTTCCCAATCTATAAAGTGGCAGACCTTTCCATTTACTTGTGATTTCTTTGAGCAGTGTTTTGTAGTTTGTGGTATAAGTTCTAATTTCTTGGTAAGATTTATTTCTATTTTGTTCTTTCTAATGCTATTATAAGTGAGATTGTTTTCTCACTTTTCTGTGAATTGCTCATTGTGAATCTATAGGAAAAAATGAATATTTGGGTTGATTTGGTATCCTTCAACTATTCTGAATTCATTTAGTAGTTTTCATAATTCTTTTAAAAATAATTTGTGAACAGAGATAATCTATCTTACTGCTTTCCAATTTGGATGACTCTTTTTTTCTTTCTCTCATATAATTGTTTTGGCTAGAATTTCCAGTAGTATGTTGAATAGAAATCAAAAGATAAGTTGTTTGTGCTTTTTTTCTGGTCTTAAAGAAATAACTTTCAATTTTTTCACCAATGAGTATAATATTGAAAACAATTTTCATCTATTACTAATTTTTAAATGTTTATATTGAGAAAATGTTAAATTTTTTCAAAAGCTTTTTTTACATCAATTGAGATGATCTTTTGTTGTTTGTTTCTCATCCTAGTAATGTTGCATATTACATCAGTCAATTTTTATATGATGAACAATTCTTGTATTCCAGGATTAAATCCCACTTGGCTCTTCTTAATGTATTGATGAATTTGGTTGTGCCATTTTAAAGCAAAAAGCTCTTAGCTTCAGTTTCATGCAAAACTCTACCCCTTTACATTGCCCTTCCTCACATTGTGATATCAATATAATGAATTTATAAATTAGTATTTTGATAGTTATTTTATGCTATTGTTTTTTTATATTTTAGAGCAGAAGTAAAAGTGATTTATGCAACATAATTATGGTATTTCAGGATTCTGTATTTGTGCATAAGTATTTTCATGTTGTTTTCTGACTGCCTTCAATTCAAACTGAAGCATACCCTTTATCACTTCCTGTAAGGGAAGCCTAGTGATAATGAACCTTCTCAAATTTGATTATATAGGAAGGACTTTGTTTTTTCTTCACTTTTAAGACACAGTTTTCTAGACATAGCATTTTGCTTAGCAGCTTTCTTAGATTTAACACTTTAAATTTAAATATACAATTCATTTTTCTTCTCATCTGTGAAGGTTTTGTCTAGAAATCCATGGATAATTACATGGAAACTCCTCTGTATATGAGTACCTTTTTTTTTTTCTTGCTCCTTTCAGTTTTCTTACTATGTCTTTAATTTTTGACAGTCTGATCATGTGTCTTTTGTAATAACAAGCTTAAGATGAGAAAAGAAAACATAACCCCGTTAAAGAAAAAAATAAATTCCATCTCTAGAAACCAACTTTAAATAAATGGAAATCTATGAATTACCTGAAAAAGAATTTTCAACATTTTTCTTAAAGAATCTCAGTGGGGTATAAGAGAACATAAATAGACACTAGAAAAAAAATCAGAAAATGGATGATGAGCAGCATGGGAATATTAACAAAGAGGTAAAACTAACTAGGCCCAACTCTCCATTCTATTGGCTCAGGAAAAGATGTCTTCAATAGGACTGCTAAAGTACAAGAAGTAAAATCAAGAATCAATAAATGGGATTGCATCAAACTAAAAAGCTTCTTCACAGCAGAGGAAACAATCAAGAACATGAACAGAAGCTTATAAAATGGGAGAAAATTTTTACCACCTGCACCTCAAACACAGCATTAATCTCTAGGGTATACAAAGAATTCAAAAAACACCAAAATAACATATAACTCAATCAATAAATGGGCAAAGGAACTGACCAGGCACTTCACAGAAGAATAAATTTAAATGGTCAAAAAATATGAAAAAGTGTTCAACATCTCTAGCAATTAAAAAGCAATGCAAATTAAAACTACACTGAGATTCTACCTCATTTCAGTCAGAATGGCAATCATCAAGAACACAAGAAACAATATATGTTGGATGTGGATAAAAAGGTTCACTCATACATTGCTGGTCGGACAGCAAATTGGTGCAACCAATCTGGAAAGCAGTATAGAGATCTCTCAGAAAACTTGGAATGGAACCACCATTTGACCCACCTATCCCACTCCTTTGTTTACACGTAAAGGACTTAAAATTAGCATATTCAGTGACAAAGCCACACCAATGTTTATTGAAGCACAATTCACAGTAGCTGAGCTATGGAACCAACCTAGCTTCCCTTCAACAGATGAATGGATGAAGAAATGTGGTATATTACTCAATGGAATATTACTCAGCCATTAATAATAATAGAATTATGGTACTTGCCAGTAAATGGATGGAAATGGAGAATGTCATACAAAATAAAATAAGCCAGTGCCCCAAAACCAAAGGTTGCATGATCTCTCTGTTATGTGAATGCTAACCTATAACAAGGGTTGTGGGGACAAGTGCATGGAGTACAGCATACATGGCATACATTAAGGGTATCTGAGTAGCAGGCCACTCCCCTCATGCTAGGAATGTGAACAGCAGTTCGCATACCCCATAGGCACAGCCCTGGGTGTGAGGCCATGTGTTGCAGTCCCTGCGCCTGCTCCACAGCCACTCCTCCATTGGTTGCTGCAAGGGCAGTTAGCAGAAATTGCATTGGTGGCTGCCTGTAATTTGCTTAGATACTGCTTGAGTATAATACATGGTAACTGTGTAATAAAGTCAGACCTGCTTCCTGCTTGGTCTTTGGAGATCTTGATTAGCGACTCTGCAGCCACACTCTCCTCTACCTTGTTCCATGGACCTCCTTGCTGGAGGAGAGAGAGCCCATGCAAAAGGAGGGTAGGAAAAAGAAGTATACAAACTCACTGGATTAGACAAAGGGGAAGGAAGGGAAGGAAAAAAGGATGGGAATAGGAAAGTTAGTAGAATAAACCAGACATAATTTTTCTATGCTCACATATGAATACATGACCAGTGTAATCCCACATTGTGTTCAACCACAAGAATGGTATCACACCTCTAATGGGTTTCACCCCATGTACATAAAATATGTCAAAACACACCCTAATGTCATGTATATTAAAAACAACAACAATATAACAAAAATTCTGGAGATCAAAATACAATAACCATATTAAAATTATGTAGAG